TGTAGTCATGATTTAAAGTAATGCACTAGATTGTTGTAGAAATTAAAAATAAATAAATAGAAAAAACGTCAGGATGATTAATCAGATTTTAAGGTCCTTGATTGAAGCTAATTTTCAACTGCGGATTGTGGCAAAAATGGTGTCTAATTTTGTTTTGTTTTTGGCTTAAGGAAATCGTGGTTTTTTGGATTTGGGGCTTTTGTTTGCAGCCTTCAGAGCCATGTGTATTTGAGGTGAGCGATTTCAAGATTTTAGAGTTCTGATTTAGAGTTTTGTTTGGTATTTGGTTATATTGGACTTGAATTTGCTTTTTTGTTGTCGATTATATTGAAATCAGAGCTTGGGTTTAGATTTTTATTTGGTTTTGATTATAATTTTTTGCACGTATTAGATTTGATAAGTTCAGAATCGGTTATTAGTTTGGTTTGACAAGTGAGGGAGGTAGAGGGAGAGAGATAAATTGTGGTTTGTCATTTTAAGTTAGTGGTCCGCTGCTTTGGACTGATTGGACTGATTAGTTCTGATAAGTTCAGAATCGGTTATTAGTTTGGTTTGACAAATGAGGGAGGTAGAGGGAGAGAGATAAATTGTGGTTTGTCATTTTAAGTTAGTGGTCTACTGCTTTGGACTCATTAGGTCAACCTTTGCTGGATAACCAAAACCAGGAATATAACATAAGAAAAGAAATCAAAATCTGAAGTATATGCTATTGGAATAAAATGATATCACACATTCTTTTCTTATAAAATAATTGACGAACAGAACCAAAGTATCTCAAAAGCATTGGAGGGCTAAACATTTCTAAGGAACACATATGGATGATCATGGTTAATTTTTGGGTTTAATTGAGTTGTTTCGGTTTTTACCGTGCGTCAAGTTTTTATTTTATTTTATTAAAAGGCCAGACATTATTGAGGGATGAATATGACTAGAATAGTAGTTGATACAATGTCTTTGGCAATATGCATGATAGAGGGCGTTCTAGCTTTATTTGATAGCTTGGGGACTATAGCTTTGTATATTGCTGAAAAAGCCAAAGAAGGGGATGGCTTCATAAATTTGTATAGGCGAAAAATAAGAGGATTTTTTTCTATGTTTAGATCTTAGGTATAACTAGATAATTTTGTTTTCTTTTCATTTGGAGGAAATAGTGATTTTTGAGGGTTTTGTCTGCAGCCTTTAAAGTTTAATAGTGGTTGCTTTCAATTCAATCACGAATTGCTGAGAGGTTGAATTTAGCACTGAATGCAGAAGAGAGCACCGAGCATAGAGCTAACAAACTGCACCGAGTATTGAAGTCGGGAAAAAGCTAAGGTTAATGTTAACTAAATTTATTGATTTTTTGTGCATGGGTTAATCTATTTGTTATATGTCATGGTTAAATTTTGGTTTGTTTCCGTTTTCTTTTTATCAATCCTCTCCCTTTCTAATTTAAATTGAATTATTCTGGCATCCATGGATTTCAGCATCGTATTTCTTAGACCTTAATTTTTTTTATTTTTTAGACATAGAGTACTTGGATCTAACGGAGGACATGACACAGAACCGAGCGCAATAGCGTTCTATGATTCATATAGCCGACCCCACTTAGTAAGAAAAGACTTTGTTGTTGTTGTATCAGGAGCGGCTAAGTAGTTTTATAGTTTAATGTCTAAAATATTATCCTCGGATATAAATCTTTACTGCTTTGTATTCCATCTGATTTTGACAACATTTATAATTTTATATAAATTTGCTCGATTAATATTGCAGTTTAATAGTCTTGCTTATTCTGTACGACAAGTTATTGTAGTAACATTTACACTGTTATCTGTCATGATTAGACTTTCAGTTTGTTTCTTTTTTATTTTGTAAATTCTGTCTGTTTTGCCCTTAAATTGGATTATGCTAATCTGCATAAAATTGAGAGTCATGTTGATCAAAGCTTTGTTTTTATTCTCCTGTTATTGAAAGTAGCCTGGAAATATTTTAAGTTTGTTTTATCTTTATTTGAAAATGAATTATTTTTGTGTTTGCAATCATCTGCAGGTTAATTTCAATTTGAAAAAATCTCTGCCACATCTTGGTTCCTACAATAATTTTAGCTGCTGAAGTAGCTTTCAGCTGTCAAGGTTTCAAGCAATTGAGTGTGTTTGTAAGGGCTTTTTGCTTTCGTAAGATTGTGTTAAAGATTATATAATGCTATCACTAAATATATTTTATTGCATAAGACACCAATTTCCATCTTTGTTGTACTAAACTGCATAAAAACTTATCTTTTCTGAGACGTTATTCAAATTCTCAACCCAGGTATGTATCCAATTTCACTTACTCTTTATTTTTCAATGCATTTGTTAGTATAAATTAACATAACGTTAGTCAAAACTGAACAACTTACAAATTATGCTCAGTTTATTTTTAATAATTTTTTAGTTGTTATTACCTACAAACTTTCTTATCCCGCAGCAACGCGCGAGCACCACCTCCTAGTATATATCTAGAGAGAGGCGAACTAGAGAGAGAGGGGGGACGGGTGGGGTAAGAGCAGAGAGGCGATCTAGTGGGGTAAGAGCGAATCCACCCCCTACCCTATTGCCTAGCCAATTGGGCAATTGAATCCCCTAAAGCCCAACTTATCACATAAGGGTTTAAGTTTATTTGGGCCTGTAGCAAGAGGCCCCAAGTTAATAAACCCGCCACCCTTTCCCGCGTTATGGCGCGAAAATAGGTTCCCAATCCCCATATCCAGTGCCACGTTCAAGCGAAAGACGCTCGAACGGGTGTCCTTCTCTGCAAAGCTCTTTGGGTTTCGAAAGCCCCCAACTCCGATTTCAAATCAATTCCCAAAACGCACCTTCTACCCATTAGGGTTCGCCGTTTTCGATAATTTCTTCTAGGGGATTCGTGTATTCAGATAAGTCTTATTGGTTCCTGGGCTCTGATCGATCGATTCGCCAATGGCTCCGTCTTCGTCATCGACGCTTGCGAATCGGGACGCTTCTGCTTCAGCTGCTGAGGACGAAGCCGTCATGTCCGTGACCCGAGCTTTTGCGCAGGTTGCGTTGCTGCAGTTCCAGCCGGGCAAGTTCGATCAGTGCCTTACCGCCTTGTCTGAGTGCCTCAAGAGGAAGCCAAACGATCCCAAAGTAATTCTCTTTCTTTTTCTTTAATTTTATATGAAAAGATGAAGCTTTTTTCTTTTTTCTTTTAGAAAACCCAATTTCTGAAATGAGTTAAGTTTGTATTTTTGTAATGTTTGAGGTTTCTAATATTTGCTTACCATGGATCTTCTTATTAGACTTTTCATAATATCGGACTTGCGAATCGGGAAGGTTGTTAAGACCCTAAGAGGTTGCTTGATGTGCTTAATGATGTCAAGGTATCTTAAATTTTCTCTTTTTCTTTCCATTCAAAGTACGCAGAGATATATAGTCTTCCACTGCTCACATATATTTGAGGAGGCGTGGTGGGTTCTTTCTTTGTCTGTACTTAAGTGCTTTTGGGTGGAGCAGTGGTAGTTTATAATTTAAATTCAACTTCATTAGGCGCGAACACAAAGCGTAATTACAACAAGAAGTTAAGAGAAAAAAAAGAAACTAACTCCAAGATGTAAGGCAACTCAAACCAGTTTGCAGTACTTAGCAGATATCAAAGCAAAGGGCAGTGCAAGTAGAAAGACTGTTATTCTAGTAAAAGCTCAAAAGGCTGAACGAAGATTAATTTACATCCCAATTAATTCTGGGTCTGAAGTCGATTAGTATTTACAATTGTTATTCCCGTATGAATTTATGTCAACCGCCATGCCAAAAACCCAAACAAAATCCTCTCCCCCTCTCTCCCTCTCTAACATTTTTCCATGGCCAAGGACAAGGAATATGTCACCAAAAACCCAAACAAAATCCTCTCCCCCTCTCTCTTTCTCTCTAACATTTTGCATAAATGGGTTTTTTAACTTAAATTATTTAATAAGATTTAAATTTAAAATAAACTTGATGTTAGATTACATATTGATTGTAATCCCTTAATGTATCCTTAATTCAAAATAATTAATGTGCCTCAGCCGCCATGCCAAAACCCAAACACAATCCTCTCGCTCTCTCTCTCCCTCCCTCCCTCAATTGGAATTTTGTGTACTCGAATGCGTTTTGTGTACTCCGAAGTTCATTAACATGAATAATTAAAAATATAATTTCCTTTTCATGCACCTGCTTCAGTGACATTCGAATATTTGATTGGTTATGATATGAAGCATGCAGCAAAAAAACCAGCCAATTTGTCAAAAGGTTATTCGAATAAAACCAGACGTTGGCCATGGAAAAATATTAGAGAGAGGGAGAGAGAGGGAGGCAGATTGTCTGCCCTCTAGTTATCGTGCTCTTCTCATCCCTTCCTATTTGTACGGCCACGGTTAAGTTACGTTAACATTTTATATTAATTTTTTAATAGAGATAATAAAATAAAAAGTAATAGAAATATAAAATATTAATGTAGCTTAATTGTGATCGTACAAATAGGAGGAGAAGAAAATGGCACGGTACGGAAGGGCAGACCATTTGCCTTTGAGAGCAAGTCCACCGGAGTGGACATTGCCCAGCACTCAGTCCATAAAACAGCCCAGCACTCTGTCCATTACCTCCAGCCCGCGCAACAACCTGGGGCCCAACCCATGCTGGTCTCTGGGCCAGCTCAAAACTGATTGACCAAGAAGCTGGGCAAGTGGCCACGTGGCAACTCCTTGGCTCTTGGATTTGAATATTTTTCAAATCCAACAGTCCATATTAATTAACTATATTAAAAATTATAAAAAAAATACAGAAAAATTATTAAAAAATACAAAAAAATTTAAAAAAAATACAGAAATTTTTTTAAAATGTTATTTTTTTCTATAAATAATAAAGTTTGTGGTTGAAGAATAAAGTGTATTTAATGAGTTTATGTAATTTCATTTTAGTGTGTTTTTTTTATAGTTTATTTGATGAGTTTATGTAATTTTATTTTAGTGTGTTTTTTTTAAGTTTACCATGGATCTTCTTATTAGACTTTTCATAATATCGGACTTGCGAATCGGGAAGGTTGTTAAGACCCTAAGAGGTTGCTTGATGTGCTTAATGATGTCAAGGTATCTTAAATTTTCTCTTTTTCTTTCCATTCAAAGTACGCAGAGATATATAGTCTTCCACTGCTCACATATATTTGAGGAGGCGTGGTGGGTTCTTTCTTTGTCTGTACTTATGTGCTTTTGGGTGGAGCAGTGGTAGATTTTTTTTGGTGCCTTGGGTACTCAGTGTTTTTCTATCAACATATTGAGATTAATTTAAGCTGACTAGTCTTGAAATGACTTCTGTTTACTTCTTGGGGTTAGATTTTATCATTTTTGTTGTCTATACTCATTCCTTCTTTGATGTCTAAAGTATACTTCTTAGTTAGGAGGAAAAAGATTTGTCGAGAGAGGGTTAGAGGTTTTTTGACGTGGAACTACAAGTTAAAATAATTATAGAACCATAGCCATGCAGCAGGCAGAGTTGAACCTTAAGCTAGATATGGTCTCTGTTGACTCACATCATTGTTGAAAGCTTAGAAACTTTATTGACCCTGTTGTATAATTATATTTGACTTTCCATTAAAGGAGGCAACAGATGATTTTTCAAGTTCATATAATTTAGTGAGGTTATAGTTCTGGGCTTTCCATCAAAGTTGGTAACAGTTTGAATGATGAGTTTAGTTTCTCGAGGTTTCTAAGGATGGTGCTGAGAGTAATCTTGCAAGTCAAGTACTGAATTCTATTTCTTGTGATTTTGGTTCACTTGGTGGTACCAAGTTGTAGCAACTACGAAGATTATTAGAGCTAGTATACATGGACAGTTATTTTGTTAGTACAATAATTTGCATTTTTCTATTGCGACAAGCATCGGCATTATGCAGGAGCTGTTACTTCCATCAATATGATAAATCCATGTTAACATCTAGTCTAATTTCTTCTTCTTGATGTTGGACCGATAATAGATTTGAGTTTCAATAACGTGCCATTGCTGGTTGAGGTATCCATTTACAAGGGGGGGACTTTTGCTGAATTCATAAGGCTTGCGTTCAGTCAACTCTCATGCCGTCTTTCTCATTTAGAGACCCTGAAGCTGGATATCAGGCAAGCTGTTAGCATACTTATCCCATGTTATTTGGTTGAGATCAAATATTGTCGCGTCCCTTACTCAGTTATTGTTGGCTTTCAGGTCTACAATCAGAATTATGCGTTTCCCTCGTTATCAAATCTAAAGCATTTGGAATTATTAGTGGATGCCGACTACTGTCTGTCCCTTGGTCGCTTAGCTTCTTTCATGAAGGCAGCTCCTGACTTGCGCAGCCTTGTTTTGGGGGTATGTATGTATTGTACGCCTTTGTTATTGATGGATTACCAAAGTTAAACTTGATATATGCATGAATGTCCTCTCGTGATCTCTCTGTTACCTGTATTCTCGAAGAACCAAAAGAATGAATAACGGGGTTTGTTTTGAATCTGGTTGTGTTTTGTTCTGGATGATCATGTCAAATTATGATTGAACTGAATGTAAAATTTCACTACTATACTGAAATTTTTGTAACATTGAAATTGTGATACATCATCATTTGAAATCATCCATGTTATCATATTGAGTATAAGCCATACTATAATAAGGTTTTCTTAGTTGTTTTTCGGGTTGCCCCCACTAGAAGAAATTTCTAGCTTCGTCCCTACAGAGGCCCTAAGAATAATGCTTCAGACTATCACTCGCTCAACCAAAAAAAGAAAAAGAAAGAAAGAAAGAAAGTGTTTCAATTAACATTAGAAGCATGTTGAAATCGATTGATCGAAGGAGTCGTCCCTACGCAGCTCCTACTCCAATTCAATACTTCTTTATGAGGGTATAATAGATAATAAATTTGGGTTTAAAGAGATATTAATAGTTTAGTTAAAAATCAAATGGATGCAAAAAGTAAGTTGGGTGTAGAAATAGTTACATAGATTTAAATAAAATTTTCTCAAGTTTTTGCATAAAGGGGTTTTTTAACTTAAATCATTTAATAAGATTGAAATTTAAAATAAACTTGATGTTAGATTACATATTGATTGTAATCTCTTAATGTATCCTTAATTCAAAATAATTAATGTGCCTCAGCCGCCATGCCAAATCCCAAACACAATCCTTTCGCTCTCTCTCTCCCTCCCTCCCTCAATTGGAATTTTGTGTACTCGAATGTGTTTTGTGTACTCCGAAGTTCATTAACATGACTAATTAAAAATATAATTTCCTTTTCATACACCTGCTTCAGTGACATTCGAATATTTGATTGGTTTTGATATGAAGCATGCAGCAGACTGAAAAAAACCAGCCAATTTGTCAAACGGTTATTCGAATAAAACCAGACGTTGGCCATGGAAAAATATTAGAGAGAGAGAGAGAGGCAGATTGTCTGCCCTCTAGTTATCGCTTCTCATCCCTTCTTTTCTATATGGTCACGGTTAAGTTACATTAACATTTTATATTAATTTTTTAATAGAGATAATATGACAAAAAGTAATAGGAATATAAAATGTTTACGTGGCTTAATCATGACTGTACAAATAGAAGGAGATGAAACAAGCACGGTAACAGAAGGGCAAACCATCTGCCTCTGAGAGAGAGAGGGGGAGAAACAACTTTAAATAAAGTTGGCCATGGTAAGGAGCAATAAAGATTGAGAATCTACGTGGAGCAATAAAGATTGAGAATTTCAATCTTGAAGCGGACAAGGATTGTCTGTCCTTCCTTTTTTCATGCCCTCTTGTTTGTGTGGTCACGGTTAAATTACGTCAACATTTTATATTACTATTCATTTTTGTCTTATTATTTTTATAAAAAAATAATATAAAATGTTAACGTGACTTAACCGTGACCACACAAAACAGAAGGGCATGAAAGACATGGAAAATGAGAGGGCAGACAATCCTTGTCCCTTGGAAGCAATGCAATGAAGGAGGAAATCTCTCTCTCTCTCTCTCTCTCTCTCTCTAACATATTTCCATGGCCAAAATCTGGGGTTGCTCCCGAGGTTGCAAAGAATTTCGATTTCGATTTCAAACTGTTCGTACCGACTTAATAAAAAATAATAAAATAAAGTTGTATCTCCCCTTCTCTCTCTCTAAAAATTTTTCCATGGCCAACGTCTGGGTTTTATTTGAATAAGCTACTAAAGCCATCTGGAGAATACAATAATAACAAAGCTTTTTGTCACTAAGTAGGGTCGGCTATATGAATCCTAGAACGTCATTACGCTCAGTTCTGTGTCATGTCCTCCATTAGATCCAAGTACTCTAAGTCTTTTCTTAAGGTCTCTTCCAAAGTTTTCCTAGATCTTCCTCTACCCCTTCGGTCCTGAACCTCTATCATGTAGTCACATCTTTGAACCGGAGCGTCAGTAGGCCTTCTTTACACATGTCCAAACCACCGTAACCGATTTTCTCTCATCTTTCCTTCAATTTCGGCTACTCCTACTTTACCTCGGATATCCTAATTCCTAATCTTATCATTTCTCGTGTGCCCACACATCCAACGAAGCATTCTCATCTCCGCTACACTCATTTTATGTACGTGTTGATACTTCACCACCCAACATTTTGTGCCATACAACATCGTCGGTCTTAAGCCATCCTATAAAATTTTTCCCTGAGTTTCAGTGGCATACGGCTGAAGGAAAAATTTTGTCCTAGCTAAGAACAAGTATGAACATTTGAATACATATGCATACTATTAACTCATTAATATAGGCATGCATCCAAAAACAATTCAATAAAACCCATGACTTTCAAAGCCTAGTATATGGTGAACCAAAATAAACTCTTTAACAACATTAAAGAGAAAGAAGAATTTAGTGATTCTTTACCCTTGAAGCTCATCCTTGTTTACACAAGGGATTCACCCAAGTGGAGGGCCTTCAAGTCACCTCCAAGCTCCTTGAATCCTTCTTGTGTTTTCCTCCCTTTAGTGCTCCTTTGATGATTTGAGGAAAATGATTTGTTCTCCAAAACACCAAAAGCTTGATGTCTCTAAGTCTCTTCACCAAGGTTGTATCTTGTGAAGATGATATGGATGATTTAAAAGAAGAAGAGATTGCTAGATGTTTCTTCCTTTAATGGCCGGCCTCTTAGAAGAAATAGAGAGAAAATGTCTCACCCAATTTCAACTAACTAACCCTTGAAGCTATAAAGTTGAATTTATACTTCATTTCTTTGGTGAGTGGCAAACTTGCAATTAAGCAAACTTTGCCCATCCAACCCTAATGGCCGGCCTCTTTGGTATTCTTGGGCTATTTGCTCATTTTGTTTTAGTTGTCATACAACTTAAACATAATGGGCCTTTTGGACCAAAACGCTTTTGGGCCCCGAAACCCAAAACCAACATATAAGCCCTATACGAACCTTTCGTAAAATTAATTAACTAATTAATTAATCTTGACCATTCATCAATTAAACCATTTAATTGCTTATCCATTTCATATAATTTCTTCACATACATCCTTACTCGGTGTACGATCCATTAGGTTCCAATTAGCGAGGTAGTGGGCGATGTTACTCTTAACTATCGATTGTGAATTGAAACCACATTTCAATTCTCCCTTTTATTGATTAGTGTTTGCTAACCATTAGGGCTTCCACAAACCATGGTTGACGCCTAGCAGCATGTCATGGTTACCCAAGCTAACTAGAAGTGGTTGGAGAACCTATCCAGTTACAATTACAATGCAATACGGTCATTCTCTAATACAATACTCTTAATCACATTGTTTAAGTGATAGTTTGTTTCATGTCTACTATCCAATGTGATACTTTCTTATATGATTCCCTTGAATATGATTTGGAACATCCTTCCTTTAGTCATATTCATTTGCTTTGGCCAAAGACTTTAGAATCATATCTTAGAGTATTCTCCCTCCACCATGGAAGGTTAGAGATCCCTTGTTGTACATTCATATGTCTACATGACTAGATAGCTTGACCCCAACAATGCCGTGGACACTCCGAGGGAATGCCATTGACAGGATCAAAGATCAAGGACCTAACCATTAGACATCTATGATGCCTCAGGTCAAAGGACTACTTTGCATATTGCAACCTTAGAGTTCTTACATGACATGTATGTTCGAACTCTGATTTGATCGTAGTTCAGTGTACTCGATTACTCTTTCGAGCACCTATGTGTCTGTCTTAGTGTCCAACACCAAATCACTTGAGACTAGTCATACTCACGCTTGAGTCAACATAACACATACTAACCTTAGCGGATTGTCAATGCCCAATTGGCAATCCTATGGCTAGGAACGTTTTAGGAATGAACATAAGAGAAAGGTCTCGATAATCTAACTCACTTAGATCACTTATCTCTTAGAACAAATACATTCCTTGGATTCACTTATTGCTTAAACACATGATACAATAAACAGTGATTAACAATAAGATTTGCCCTCCATTAAACATATAAAAGTTTAACATAATAAGTATTCCAAAAAGCTATTACATCAAATGAGTGGCTTTGTGGGCATACTTCCAACAACGGCGGTCACACAACACGTCAGATACACTCTTCCACTTCATCCATCCAACTTGTATTCTATGGTTGAGGTCTCTATCTAATTCTCCATTCTTTTGCAAGATAGATCCTAGGTAGCGAAAGCGGTCGCTCTTTGGTATTTCCTGATCTTCGATCCTTACCCCTAACTCATTTTGGCCTCCATTTGCATTGAACTTGCACTCCATATATTCTGTTTTTGATCGGCTTAGGCGAAGACCTTTAGATTCCAACATTTCTCTCCAAATGTTAAGCTTCGCATTTACTCATTCCTGAGTTTCCAAAGGTTAAGATTCCAACACTTCTCTCCAAAGATTAAAATTCCAACACTACTCACCCCTAAAGCCATCTGAAGAATGCTGGCAGAAAATAAAACATGGCCCCACTACACTGTGATAGGAACCCTAGCTTCGCCAAGCAAACACTATATAATAATCTCCATGTCCATTCAAACAAGATCACCAACTCATTCTATAAAAGAAATAAAAGGGCGAAAACCTAAGCTTCTGAGAGTGACCTCCGTTTGAACCCTGAACCCTTGAGATGGATAACAATGGCGAATTTCCAATTGAAAGGTAAATCTGTTGTTTGGAGAATTTTTATTTTCATTTGTTTAGTAATACAGCACAGGCCGGTCAAGTTTACAAAGAACTTTTTATTTGTTTGGTAATACTGCACAGGGGAATGCATCCTTTTATTAGCTACACGTTTAATTTCTTTTGTTTGTTGTTGTTTTTGTGTTTCAGGACAAGTTACATCAGGAGTTGTTGTGGCAGAAGCAGGAGAAGCCGTGG